TAAACAATTGGTACAATTTACAAAAAAAGTTGACGGGATTCCATCGGGTCCGGCCGCAGATGACGGTTTCAGTCCAGCAAGGCCCTGAGTTACCTCTTCAATATCAAGAGAAATGTCCGACAGCGTATTAGAATCAAGTGTTAGCCCCTCGAAACCATTAATTAGTGAAGTTGAAGAAAAAACCGAAGAAAATCGCTCCGCAAACAAGTTGACAATATCCGGGCCATCATGGGCATCGATACTATTATAATACATACTATCAGGATAGCCAGAGCAACAATCCCTAGGGTTAGCAAACCTCCAGAACTCTCCAGGATCAGACTCCAATGACCCCTCAACATCACTAATAAATCGACTGTAGTCGCGCAACGTCAGACGCTTGCAAATTATCCGGAAGCTCCTGAAGTCATGCAATGCCTGACCATCTCCCGAAGCCTTAAATATCCGGTGGGACATCTTCTTCTGAGAAATCGCAGCTCTCAATTCGTCTGTCATCCAACTCGGGAATCTAGCAGTGAAAGAGCCAGTAAGTGGAACGTTGCAGCTAATAATTTCGAATAATTTCCTGTAAAAACAATCAAGCGCCATGTCAACGTCCCACTCATGACCACCAAGGAGATCATTCCAATTTGTCGACGCCAGAGCAGCATTAATACTGCTATAATTTGCCTTTTTAAAGTTGAAGGAAGCAGAAGTATTAAATGGTAGAGAGCTCGGTGAAGCCACTGCAACACAGTTCAAATTAATAATGACAGGTTCGTGATGTCTGTCCGATGGTGCCAGAGGATCCAAAGCTGTGCAGAGAGACGCCGGAATACTACAAAATGCCAGATCAAGCGTGTTTCCAGAGCAATTTGTTGAACGAATCAACTGAGCGCACTTAAGAGAGTTCGTACAACTCTCCAATCTAGATGCCGAATCACGAATAGTCCTACTTGCTAGTGCATCGGATGAAAGCACACCATCATAAGCCGACCACGTGCAGCGGGGAAGGTTGAAGTCACCCACAATGAGAACGGCACACTCAGGATATCCGGCAGCTGAATCCTCCAGAGAACAGCAAAAGGAATCCAAAGATGACTCGAATATCACCGGTGAGAGAGACGTAACTGGCGGCAGATAAGCAACGGAGAGAAGTAGCGGTGCTCCATAGTCAAGCTTCAGAGTCACATGCTCCAAATCATAATTGAGGGTATGTACTGTTACAAAGGAGCATGTGCTCTCAATCCAAACGAGGATACCACCTCCCCTTGATCTGCCACTGCGAACCTTACAGCGATCCAATCTCACGAGCGAGTAGCCAGGAATCCTCAGCATAGCATCATCCACCGTGTCATCCAACCAGGATTCAGTGAGGGCAATTATATTAAACTTTTGCGCACATGTTAATACATTATTAATAAAAGCAGTGATGGATGATTTAATGCTACCAACGTTCTGGTAGTAAATAGAAAGAAGATTGGGTATCTCGGCTGCACTTATGTGTTTTTTGTTGAGGTGATGGAGGGTACGCCATTGAAAAATTTAATTTTGAGATCCTTCTCACCGGCCTGCATTCTAGAATTGATGTCGGCAACGGTCTCACGCAACAACTGTCGCTGAAAAGTGGATCGGTCCGGGCCACACTTCGCGTTCGGCATCGATTTAAGCAAATCCGGTGAGTGACGCAAGAACCACCGCGCCTCAACAGCAGACCGAAGAATGAGTTTCAATGGACGAGTCCTGTCCTCAGCCCTCTTTCCAAGGCGGAAAGTGGTGAGCAATGAAGCATCGATACACACCCCCACAAGTAGCGCCGCCACTGCCGCTGTGTCCTCGGCCGACGAGACATGTTCAGGGAAATTGTATATAATACAATTACATTCCCTTCTCCGCTGCTCGTTCATCTCCGCAAGAGTAACCGTATCAATCTTTGTGGAGGACTCGCCGACACAACTTTCCACCTTTGCCAGCCTAACCTCATGGTCGTCAACTCGAGTGGCCTGCTTCGAGATAGAATGGTTGACCGCCTGAAATTGTGAGGCAATGGAGCCAGTGACCACCGAAAGCTCATGCTGGATGACGCCCATCCTGGCATCCATGGCATCAGAGCGCGCGACAAGACCATCCGTCACGCGCTGCAGCTCATCACACCTTCCAGAAATCAATAAGACGATGCTGTTCAATTTCGAATCGAAATATTTCACAACATCGTCCCATGATTCGCAATGCGAGTCATTGAGGGGCTTAGTCACAAAGTCACAAACAAAACAAGTCTACTGGTCAACTCACTAACGTCACGAGAGTAACAAATTAAGTGGAACAACAATCAAGAGCACAAAAATATACACTTAATCGAAAACAGTACTAAACAACACAAAATGCAGCACAACAACTGATTTAATTCAGCACGGTAATAACGAAACTCAATTTTTTTTTCACGTGCGGGTAAAACTTTGAGGTTAGGATTCGCGTGACTATTCTGACTGACTGCTACTGACTGACTGATTTTAAACATTATTACGTCTAGCCATAACATCTCCTCGGCTAGACATAACAATTACATTGTAAATGTTAATTATTATAATAAAGTGGGTACTCTAAATTCAAGATGACTATCTAAGAAACATGAATAAGAATTCGTTTCATTGATAACTGCATAGTTATTACTGTTATCAATAAATAAAAAATGAATAATGTATTTAGAAAAATAATAATATACGAATCGAAAGCATTAATTTTGTACATAACAAAGACATTTTTATAATTTATTAATTTTAATCAACTGATTTATTATTTGCATTATAATATTTTTTTAAAATCGGTTGCAAATACGAAAATTGATTATAATTCAAATGTTATTAACTAATTAAAGTAGTTCTTTTTTGGAATTACTTCTACAAGCAATAAACTATTGCTATATGTTAAATTTTATCATTATTTTATTGTAAATATTGCATTATTACATTAACTAATATGATTGGTTAATAACTTTTGACTATACTTTTTGCGGTAAGTGTTAATTATACTAAAATAATCCATATCTACTTCTGTAAATTTTACATGTTTTAGAATTTCGTTATCGCTGTCTATTCTCTTGTAAACAAAGGAAAATGATTTTGCACACTTGCGTAAGCTCGAAGAGGGGTGTCCTACAAAAATAGGCGGGAAAATGTGTGTATAAATACGCTGATTTTTGCACAGGCTAGCATTCTCTTCTAGCCTTGCAAAGTGAGCTATCGAGATTGAATTAATTTGGCTTATACCTAAGTTCTTTCTCTCAAGTGATTAACCAAGCAATTCCTTCCTTTCCTATTGTAATTTACGCTCGACTCATAGAACATTTCGCGCTATGAGAAACTTGGGTTGAATTACATCCTTTTACAAGAAAGACTTAAGCTCTGATTATGGGACACTTCGCAATAAGAAACTAGAGTAAAGTCTATCTTTCCTTAAGCCCAATTCAAATAATCATAGTTATTTCATTTATAATTTTATTACAAACTCAATATTCATAAATATTTTCAAAGTTAAAACGAATTCCTACTCATTAACGCGACAAACCACGAGAGTACAAATAAAATAATAAATAATCGGTGATATCAACATCACAATGTTTTGATTGCAAAATCATTAATTTTAAGCAGTATCAACTGTCGTAATTGATATGAAATGATTGTACGATACCAGAACAATACACTATGAAAAATTGTAAAACCTATGATTTGGCGTGAGATAAATATAACTGGTTAATCTGTAGTGATCTCAAGATAATTTTATGTCAATAATAAAACTTTACAAAGTTTTCATGTTTTATATAATTTTTACATATTCATTTTTATAACCTCTTCTCCTTCTCTGAATTTAGAATTAGACTTTTTTCGTTCACACTTAGATTATTTTCTATAAAATCTTAGAGATTATAGTAAAAAATAAGGAGAACGTTTTCATTAAGATATAAAAAAAAGGAACGACGACACCAAGATAGGTACCGTAGTTTCCTCGTGACATAACTATGATGTTGAACTTCTGTTGGATAACTGACATTATTACTGTCAGATTTAATATCTTTGCTCTCAAAGTATACGGAACCTTAACATCTCGGTTAAATCAATTTTCAATCACAAAACTAAATTACTCTTACTCATACATTTCATATTATGATATTTAAATACCCTTAAACTTGACATCATGAGGTTGATCTGACTTCTGAATTGGATGAAGCACTTTTCCAAATGCATTATTATTTTATTCAAGTCTTATAAAGCTATATTTTTGTATTTTTATAATTCCGATATGAAAAGCCTATAAAAAAAAGATATAATGACCTTGAAACAGCCTCCGAGATTGTGATAAAAAAAGAAATAAAAATTATATCTAAACGTAAAATTTTCTGTTCTTTCAGAATCTATGGTTGAAAATTCATCTTTTGCACAATAAACAAATTTAACTTTGATATTTAATATGACTATGTAAGATTAAACGGATTGCAGATTCGAATTCAAGGAGCTATAATACATGTAGAATTGATATTTCATTAGCTTATTCCTAGGCGACTAATCTTTTCTTGAAATTCATTCTCAAATACTTTTTGATCTGATGTGTTGAAGCTAAACAGATGCTAGATTCAGATTCAGCAGAAAAAAATACATGAAAATTTTTTATTGACATCAAACTTGATTTGTTTTTTGAGCTTGTGTTAAAAACAAACATATAATGTTACAACAACATCTCAGTTTTCAGGTACACAAGCATCCCAAGAAACATGCAAAATCTGAAATTACCAGTACATAAACAAATATTTATTCTCACACATATATTAATTGTCTAAATCACGAAATAAATTGTTGGATTTATATTTTCCGTTAAAAATTGTAGATAATTGAAACATTTAGATTTTGAAAAAATGCCTTGCCCAAGCTTTGAACTATTAATCGTAATATTAAAAAATCATATATGCTTTACTTATCAACCATAAATATTATAAACGTAATATAAATATTACTTTATTAACTTTTCAGCTCCACAACGATTAGTCCAGTTGATGAATGAAAAATATTAAGTCTTTTTTACTGGCTACTGGCTTATTATGGTAACATTACTATTTTTTACTACCTTCGTACGAAAAAAACAGATTACCATTAAAGTTAATCTAGAAAACTACCAAAACATTTTAATGAAGAAAATTGATAATTCGTCCACTTCTTCACCAGTTATAAATAGACATTCACATTTTTAGTATATTCTAAGTATTTAAGTTAACAGAGAAAACTGTAGGCATATGTGGAATTTGAAGGATCCAAGAAAAATTTTTGAACAGTATTGAAAATTATACTACTGAAGATATGAATACATAATTTTATTTTTTATTTTAAATATCAATTTTTTGTTATCCAAAAAGATAAGATTTTCCAATCCATATTTTATACAAATCACTGTAAATATAAATTAAATAAAACTAGATATAGTGTTTCAATGAAATTAGTATATTATTCAAGAATCCCAAAAAATTCTTAAGCAAAATATACTATCAATAAGTTATCTAAGGAGTTCCCTCTAATCTATAAAATAGTAAGCAATCTCTTATTAATTATATTAGACTACCTACAATTTACTTGATAATGTTTTTAGATAGGCTGCGATGCATTTTTGAATTAAAAGTGACACGAAAAAAGATGAAGTATATTGCTATATTTGAAAAAATGAATAAAAAACTAACCATAGTTAGCAATAAACTGCATGGAAGTATGCAAACGGCATGCGTGCAGAGATTAGTAGAAAGATTACTGACTGTAATACTTTCGCGCCTGAGCAAAGTTACTAATTCGAGCGTCACGTATTAGCCAGAGCGTTGAAACTCTCGCATAATTTTAGTAAGCACGGGAGGATTGGATTGGGTTGGATAATGATTGATGACATTCGGATGAAATATCAAAAAATTTTTTTTTTTTTCTCACCTCACATTTAAGTTTACTATATAATCGTGATCATTAATTCTATGCCGCTGTTTTGGTTCTTTGTTTCACATATAATTTAGTAAAGTAACAAAATACAATTATTTTTTTTACTAGTACTCCAAGTTTATTTGCAATCTCCCTCACGTATTGAGATAATAAGCAAATGTTGATGCTATTAGACATATACAGGGTGAGTCATTTTAATTTCCCCAGTCTAATAACTTTTGAAACAAGCAAATTACGCAAAAATGTTTCAGACCAAAGTTGTAGGGGTTCAAGGGGGACATCTAGGGGTGACTTTGAAATTGACCTTGAGCTTGACCTTGACGGCTTTCTCAAGGTCAAGTCTATTTTTTTATTGGGAACCCCTATTTCTGACCTCGGAATCGGAAAGAGCGGGAAATTTTACATCCAGATAACATCTTTTAACATGGGTCAAAATAAACCCTTAAGGTCATGCTAAGGTCAAAACTATCCTGGAACAAGAATCGAACAATGTAAGCAAAATACGAAAAAATGACTCAGAAAAAAGTTGTAGGAGTTCAAGGGGGACGTCTAGGGGTGACTTTGAAATTGACCTTGAGCTTGACCTTGACGGCTTTCTCAAGGTCAATTCTATTTTTTTATTGGGAATCCTTATTTCTGACCTTGGAATCGGAAAGAGCAGGAAATTTTACAGGATTCAAATTTTTTAAATTTAAAAATTTTTTAAATTTAATTTTTTTAAATTTTACGGGACTATTCTTGTTTCCGTTCCCTATCCTTTTTTATTTTTCACCGGACTGTATGATTATTATTAATAAATTTCAAATATTGGAAGTTGTTGCTAATAATTTGCTATTACAAGTCTATTAAATTAATGAAACTATTTCAGTATCAATCTGATGTTCTGCAAAGAAATAAGAGTAAAAGTTAAATACATAAGGATAAATTTCATGTTCAATGAAGAATCTATTACATTTGGAAGTCGTTTAGAAAGTAATCGCAATACGTTCAGTCGTGATTTCAATTTTGAAAAAGCTTTAAATATTACTTTTGTTTTAACCATGCTTGTGTTCATTGTATCACTATCATTATTTCTTCATATTTGAATAAGAGACCTTTCTTATTGCCATCGATCATATGAAATCTAATTTGGACAATATTGCCTCTGTTTTCAGTAATATTTAATTTGTATCATCTTTCTATGATCTTTGCCTTTGTTGATTTGTATTGAGGTTTTTTGAAAAAATCTTTTAAATATGGCTGATTTTACTCCAACAGAGATAGTTGATATGATTTGGATTTTAGGAGAATGTAGAGGTAATTACCGTGAAGCGTCAAGGTTATATCGAATTCGATACCCACAAAGGCGCCATCCTGATCACCGTACCATTCATCGTCTTGAAGAAAGAGCTCGACAAGGGCATCTACGAAGAAGTCGACCAAGACATGAGTATGATGATAGAGATGCTAGGGTTTTGGTTGTCTTAGGATTGGTTCACCTAAATCCTCATATCAGCAGCCGACAAATAGAGAGAGAAACAGTAATACCTCAGAGAACCGTTATTAGAATTTTAAGAAGTAATAGATATCATCCGTATCATATTACCTTAACGCAAGCATTAAACGCTAATGATATGAGAAACAGAGTAAATTTCTGTCGGTGGGCTCTACAGATGATTTTGCAGGATCCGAATTTTTTTAATTATGTCCTTTTTTCTGATGAAGCTACGTTTCATAGTACTGGCCAATTGAATCGTCACAACAGTCATTATTGGTCTGATCAGAATCCTCACTGGTACAGACCAGTCGATAATCAACATCGTTGGAGTGTAAATGTATGGTGTGGAATAGTTAATGGTCATCTCATCGGGCCATTCTTTTTTGAAGAAAACGTCAACGGCAATGCTATTTTAGAACTTTTAAGGGATCATCTCCCACTTTTACTTGAAGACGTAGATCTTGAGACTAGACGTCGAATGTAGATACAACTGGATGGTGCAGGACCGCATTTCGCTTTAATTGTACGAGAGTTTTTAAATAGAAATTTCCAACAAAGGTGGATTGGAAGAGGTGGTCCAGTTGCTTGGCCTGCACGATCACCGGACTTAACTTCCCCAGATTTCTTCCTTTGGGGATACTTAAAAAATACTGTGTTCGCCGAAGCGCCCACAACAAGAGAGAATATGATAGAAAGGATTAGAGTTGCATGTAGACAAATCTCTAGAGATATCTTACTGCGCACTATTAAAAGCTTCGAACAGAGGCTCAGGCAATGCATCGACGTAAATGGTAATAATTTCGAGCAAAACCGATAGGAAATAAGTTTATTCTAGTTTCATCACGAATTGTGAGAGGCAAGGGGACTCACATTAATAAAGCACCCCAAATCGTGAGAGGCAAGGGGATTCACGTTAATAAAGCACCCCGAATCATGAGAGGCAAGGGGACTCACGTTAATAAAGCACCCCAGAGGGAACATAATCCTATTACGTCCACGTCGTTGTTCCTGGGTAGTGCTAAAGATAGGAAGTTTATGATCTTAAACATCAGCATCGTTAGTACATGGCCAGTCCCTTATTCTTTGGAAGTTTATTTAACAACGGTCATATGCGATAAAAGCTTCGCCTCGAAATGTAACAAAAATAAGAGAATTTTCAAGAATTTGACCTTTGCTTCACATTGAGAATAGAAGTACGACAAAGGTCTTCGATGCTCGTTAAACCTTTTGATGTTTGAAAGCGGCTTCAATTTCTTAAGTAAAAACTGAAATATTGTTTATGTTCTTATGAAAAAAAACTAAATAGATACTTGAACGTAAAATTTCCCGCTCTTTCTGATCCTGAGATCAGAAATAGGGGTTTCCATTAAAAAAATAGAAATGACCTTGAGAAAACCGTCAAGGTCAAGCTCAAGGTCAATTTCAAAGTCACCCCTAGATGTCCCCCTTGAACCCCTACAACTTTGGTCTGAAACATTTTTGCGTAATTTGCTTGTTTCAAAAGTTATTAGACTGGGGAAATTAAAATGACTCACCCTGTATATATATATAATATACAGGGTGTCAATTAAGTCCCGGGACGCCTGAATATTTTCTGAAGTACTTCAGTTCTGAAAAAGGTCAAGGTCATTTCTACAGTAACTTTGAACAAGGAATCCGATGGTGACCTTGGATTTGACCTAGAACATCAATTTTGAGGTTATTTTGAGGTCAACCTCATTTTTTTAAATAGGAACCCCTATTTTTTATTGCGGAATCGGAAAGAGCGGGAAATTTTACGTCCGGATATGTATTGAGGTTTGAGGTTGAGGTTGAGGTTTAACCCCTAGAGGTCAAATAGACGTCAAATAATGATATTTTAAGAATCTCGCGAGTCCAGAGGTAACAAAAAACAAACAAAGGTCATACCCTAGGTAAGTCTTGACGAGAAACCCAACGGTGACCTTGGATTTGATCTTGAACCTCATTTTCAAGGTCATCTGAAGGTCAACCTCATTTCTTCTAACAAAAAAACTTATTTTTGATACCGGATTCCAAAGAAGCCAAATTTAACGTCCAAATATGTATTGAGGTATGAGGTTGAGGTTACTCCTAGAGGTCAAATAGAGGTCAAATAATGAATTCTTAAAAATTTCGCTAGTTCAGAGGTAAAAAAACAAATAAAGGTCATACCATTGGTAAGTCTTAACGAGGAACTCAACGGTGACTCCGAATTTGACCTTGAACCTCACTTTTAAGGTCATTTGAAGGTCAACCTCATTTTTTCTAATGGAAACCCCTGTTTTTGATAGCGGATTCGAAAGGAGCCCAAAGTTTTACGTATCGATGTGTCGAAGAAGGAATCCAATTGTGACCTTCAATTAGAACTTGGACTTGACCTTACAGGTTATTTGAAGGTTAACTTTTTTTTTTTAATAGGAACCCTTATTTTTGACACCGAAAATCTATAGAGCGGGAAATTTTACGCTCAGGTATGCACTTAGGTCGTAGAAAAAGTTTGACATTGGGGTTTACTCCAAGGTCATTTACCCACAACGGTTCAATCTCCACTTGACATTTAAGGTCATTTCAAGGTCAACTAGTTTTTTTGATTGGAAATCCCAGTTTTAGTACCAGGAATCGATAGAGGGGGAAATTTTTCATTCAGACAGCATTTTTTAAAATTATGACCTTACTATCGTCCTTATTCTTACTCTTTGCGTTACCCAGAAACAACGACGTGGACGTAGTAAGATCTGTTTCCTTTGGGGTGCTTGATTAGCGTGAGTCCCCTTGCCTCTCACGATTTGGGTGCTTTATTAACGTGAGTCCCCTTGCCTCTCACTTAAAGGTTGAAAGTTTAATGGCAATGCCATTTTAGATTTGAGAAAATCTAAATTTTGGCAGTAGATTCGAAC